ACCCCCATTTTCACTTCTTAATAGAAAGTGTCAAATTTAAAAGGCTAGTAACCACTTCCTCAACCTTCTCTTTTGCTGACTAAAGTCTAAATGAAATACATAAAAACTTAATGTATTAATGGGAAGGTCTTTCCCTTGTCTATATGTATTATAACAGAACATATGTAACAGGCATGTTCTGTTCACCTTACCAGACCAAAGAAATCCCTCTTTAAGGATATATTATTTTCTTAAATCTAATTTCTAATGCTAAAACCAGCATAAAAATAATAAACTCTTTTTCAATACTATCTCTGTGCTCCTAGAGTCTTGTGTATAAAGATTCCAGGTCCGTCTAGAATGTGCTCAGCAGGAGATGGAGTATTTTTTTAATAGAGGTTATATCTTTTTATTAAACCAATTGATGGCTATTTGAAAAACTTAGACACATTTGCCTGTACAACCCCATTTAAAGTTTTCAGTCCATTGGTGTGTTTGTTGTCCTTGCCTTGACTTGAAAGTTTTGGAGGATCTTAAATAAACGCTGTAGCTCTTACAGGTGGCCTGAAAAGCCCTGTATGGGCTAAGGGCTTGCTAACTAGCTCTTGGGTAGCCTGGTTGTTGCATTAGCCCTTGGCATGTGCAGGGAGGCTGTATTCTGCTGTCTGTCCTGCTCTTCACTGTCTTTACCAGCATTCACATGTGTCCAAGAGAGTAGACCTTGTGTTCAAAATGTTCAAAACAACAACAGGAAAAAAGCATTTTGGTCAAGTACTGATGCTATTATGCTAAACCTCACTGATAAATTCCTCAGATTGATTGCACCTAAATAGATGTTTTCCAAGTCTTTACTTGCTTTCTTTAAGAGAATTTTATTGAAGAATTCTATGAGACTAAGAGAGTAGTTTATTTATTTCTTTTCTTGGATATAGTTAAGAATTATGATGTATTTAATCTTGGATTCTGTCCTGTGTTCAGTGAAAACTTTTGCTTAATATGCATGGGAAAAGATGTGTCCTTTTATGAGTCAAGGCTATTGCTTAATAAATTGTCTTATTGTCTTAAGTGGTCATACTATTCTTAAAGAATATTTTGAAGATACTGGAAAGAATACAGAAATGAGATTATTGTTCCACAGAAATGAAAGAATACACAAGCATTTGTCTGCTTAATCAGCTCTATCATTGAAAGAGCATCCCTTTGTTCTTGCTTCTTGGCTACAGTGCTCAAGTAGAGCAGGACATGCAGGATTTTCTCAGCTGACCTATAAAGCTATTAGAGTCCCAGATTTTAAAACTGGGACATAGGCAGCCATACAAATATTTTAATAATCTGTGCACGCAGGCATTTATATAGGTAGTCTGTTTACCAATCACAATTGTCCATCCATAAAAGGCTGGGGTTTATTTCTTTTCATAAAATTATATAGTACTTGAGAAGTTTTGTCATAGTGGAAGGATATTTCAGTGGAGAACATGTTTGAATGGAACCTGAGGAAGTCGCATGGGTAAGAGTCACTCCTACCCCTCTTTTCAGAGCCTGGGAGCAAAATTGGTTTGCACTGGGGTCCAGTGTAAACCTGGGGAAAGTGAGGACTCTGCAAGTCTTGGGGGTGGAGGAGAACATCAACAAAACAACACAGCCCAACAGACAGTAAAAACCTTTCACCATGGATCAGTCCTGAAGCCGAGTGACAGTAGGAGAGACTGTAGGAAACAGAACCATCTTTACAGGAATGTTTGTGTTACTCTGATAAACTTATTTGCATCCTGCCAAGACATCAAGATGGGAAAACATTTCCTCCCAAGATGGGAAAATATTAGTACCCAGTTCAAATCTGTAGGACCTTTGTTGTCCCAGTTTTCAGTGGGTCTGGGACATAAAAAATGGATGCCTTCAGGAGTTTTAGCTTTGGCTCAGGAGCAATGAGGCCACTCACTGTCTTGATCATTAGTAGAGGGGAGAGGAGAGAATTAATTGTTGGATAATTTTTGCCACTCATTTTGGTACTTGCTTTTAAAAAAAGTTTTTAATTAAATTTAAAATTTGCATTATAAGAAACTCCTTTAGCGAGGCAGATGATGTGCATTAGAATAATAATACACTGTACTTGAAAAATACTACTTGTGTGTTTTAAGGTTTGCTCTGTCAGTGCCCACTGCTGAGGAGTAGTAGGTGTTTACTTGGAATATATTTGAAGTAGATATAATTATTTTTTAAGTTTCATAAATGGAAAACCTTAAATGGAACACTAGACAAGGACTTTTCCCCCATCATTAGACCTAAAATTTGTATTTGGTTGGCTACTGTGAACAGTGAGGAGATAAATACTATTAAGATTGCTTGTATCTATGAAGTGTTTAAACTTAGCAGAATTTAATGAAGCATTCCTGCTAGAAAAAGTGCCACATGTGGTACGTTATTATTGCAAATTATGAATGTTTTTAGAAGAAGCAAACAAAATAACTAACTAATCTTGGCAGAAAGTCATTCAATGTGAATGGTATCAACATATGCCAAGGATGTGTTCAAGATCAGGTTACATCAAATGTTCATGAAGAAAAGAGCCTGACCTTCATGAGCTGCATGACTGCAAGGCCTTTTCTATATATTTAATCTTTTCTTACATAAATTAAAGCTTCAGGTTTTCTGTACCAAGTATTTTGGGTTACTTTATATTACTTCTTTGGAGATGAAGAATATCTGGCAAGAAACAAAGGGTTGAACCCCAGCATGTGAACTCCTAGAGACTATAACAATTGATCAAAGTTAAAGTAGTCTTATGTTTGACTTGCCCAATAATGCCATCCCACAGAAAATTATAACACCATCTTGGGATTTTCCAATGTTTATATAGATGTAATATCCAGTTGGTACAATGTTTGTCTTTCTGAATTCTCAGAGGGTTTAAAATGCACTCTCTGTACACTGTATAGTGGCTTTTCTCTCACACAGTACAGTTGATGAAGGAAAAACTATTTTGAAGTTTGCTGTTTCACATCAGGGAGGTTCCCAGTTCCATTTTGCTGTCAGGGAGAATACTGGATTACTAGATTTTACCTTTTCTTCATTAAAAGGATAAGGTCAGTCTGGATAGAACACTTATGAATGTAATAATGAGTAGTGGCCTGGCCTCTCCCTCACAATGTGATAAACAATGAACACTGTATAAAGCCACGAAAACTAAGAGAGCTGCATTTCTTTGGGCCTCTAGATAAGCCATCTCCAAAAGGATTTGCTATCATATGAAAATGAGTGAATAGATACTGTTAAATGAAGATTCCATTCTTCAATTAATAAATAATTTCCATTCTGGAGTAGATAATTTATGCCTACTACCCAGGCAGCAGTTGTGATTAATATGCTGCATTAGTTGCTTGAGTAGATAAAATCTCAACAGCTAAAGAGCTTGTTTTCATGCAGATAAGGCTAATAGGAAAATCAAAGGAAGATAAAACCTCGAGAATGTGATGTAACACACAGAGCAAGTTACACCCTGTCAAAACTGTAAAGTCTGAATGAAATGTTATCAGATTTTTCTGTAAGGGAGGTTGGAAGAAAGGATTATATATTGGGACACCTCAAGCTCCACACCTGTAACATGATAGAAATAGAGCTGGTAAATAGAATGTGATGGTAAATAGAATGTAATGGCTCATTTCTTTATTTCCTACATAAGGAGAGCAGTACTTTTTCTTAAGGACACCCTTTGTCTTGTAGGCAGCATGGGCCAAACACCACCATTGAAAGCAAGTGAAGTTTGGAGTCTCAGAATAATTGCAACAACCAAGAGACTTTTCTTGGTGTTTCCTTTACTCTGAATACAGTAAACTAAACTCTGGTTAAATAATTTTTTTATCTTTTAGACTCATACATTACAGTTAAATTTCTTTTTGTATTTATTCTGTTAAATTAGAAAAAATAAAAAAGTTTTCCTAGGGTCATCCAATTTAACTTTAATTACTACACAAATCTCCACACTCTTGTATTCAGCAGACTATGCTTATTATTAATCTGATCTCAACACCTTTTCCAAAGTTGTTTCCCCCAGTATCCCAGACACATATTTATCAGTATAGCAAATCCTTAAAACCAATTTTTTGGGGGTTTTTGTTTGTTTGTTTGTTTGTTTTTTGTTTGGTTTGGTTTTTTTGAGCTGGTAACAAGCTTCTTCTCACTGGCAAATTCACATTAAGATGCATAAGAAACCATTTGGGTCATACAGAGCACTAAGATGGATGGTAATAACCTGTAACTAGAAAGCATACGTGTAATCTGAAAAGCTGTTCTCTTGTAAATTAATGGTTTTTTCCACAATAGATTTAATCTAAAAAAGCATATTAATGAGAATTTTATGAAATAGAAGGGTTTTCTTTTATTTCAGTATATAGAATCATTAAGGTAGAAAAAAATGTTTAAGATCATGAAGTCCAACTGTCAACTAACATGCTGTTGTTTTCTTTATGTACATGAGATGTAGATGACACAGTTAAAGTATTGTTGCTGTGGGAATCAGTTGTCAAGTAGGATTTTAATTTTTTCAAAATTTGGTACTCAATCTTATTACACTTGATTAAAATTAGGATCCATTTTTCCTTTTTAACTAGTTTGTACCATTTGGTTAAACATATGAGCCATTAGTCTTCTCTTTAGTATTTATTTGGTTATCAATTATCTGTTTGGAATTGTTCTGAAATATGTGGTAGAAGTATTATTTCAGTATCTTTGTGAGGGATAATCTTTGGTCAACTGAATGCCCTTTAAGCTATGTTGTATGCAAATATTTTGTAGGTTTCTGACATAACTGTGAACATGTTAAGTGCTGGACTGCCACTGTACCAATTGGCTTTCGAGAGTTTAATTTTGTTTTATAGAAAGCATATCTCCAGATTTTACCCTTTTTAATATATTGTGTTAATGCATTGTTTTTAAATGTGAAGCATTTAGTCTTACTGTTGTATATAGGTTGAGAAATCATGCAGAAACAAAAACCAGAGCAAATTATCCCCCTTCTTTTGTAGATATTTGGGCAATTGGCTGCATATTTGCTGAACTATTGACTTCAGAACCTATATTTCACTGTCGCCAGGAGGACATCAAAACAAGTAATCCTTTTCATCATGATCAGCTAGACCGCATTTTCAGTGTAATGGGATTCCCTGCAGGTAATTTATTTTCATTAAAGCAGCCAACATAACTCTAGTGAGTTGTTGTTTGTTGGCTTTTTCCTAAAGGAAATTACTAGGTATTTGTATAGGTACGAAGAAACTGGCAGTTTGATGGATTTGGAAATGCTGGCAATTAAAGAACAATAACACTGGCCAACAAACAGGAAGTCAAACAACTCCTGTAGTTATTTCTTCCTGAGTATTACTTACCCTACACGTCCAGAATTCTAACTGCCTTTTTTTTTTTTTTTCCCACACTACTGAAGATAAAGACTGGGAAGACATAAGAAAGATGCCAGAATATCCAACTCTTCAGAAAGATTTTAGAAGAACAACGTAAGTAATGATAATGTAACAACAGTTCATTGAGCATGGCAGAGGCAGAAATCAGTTCCTATGCTCTGGAACTGGGTAGAGGATTTTGAAGTATTTGGGTTCTAACACTGTGGCAGCTGTCATGTTTGAATTAGGTGGTTTACATGAATGGTGTTCTCTCCCTCAGCTGCTTGTTAAGAACATCAACTGAGTGGCCTTCTCATTTCTCTAGAAGGGGTTGCTATAATTTTAATTTAATCTGTGGCAGACACAGACAAATGAGCTTCCTTAACCCATTTCTATTACATATCAAAGATAATGTTCATTTTGTGTGAGAAAGAATAGGGAAGTGCTGGTATTTTTGACAAGTGCATATGTGGAGGCAGCAATGTATTGGACAGAAATTTGTATTGAAGGTAACACGTTCAATAAGTTGCAATTCAAAGTCTGTCCGGGATCTGAGAATTTTCACTTTTACTGTTTCCTGTAGTGATCTGTTATCACCACTTCTATGCTTTGGCTAAATTAGTCAAGTGGTGATAACAGATCAGAGCTGGTAAGGAGTCACATGGACTCCTTAAAGTAAGGTAGAGGACATGGATTTGGGAGTTTTGGATTCTGTTTCCAGCTCTGACATGGATTAATTCCATTGGCTTTACACAAAATATGAAGCTTCTGTCTTTTAAAAATGGCTATAGATAACCTCTGGAGCTATAAATTAAAGGCAAGGCATATGTCATAGGTATTTAGGGCAATTTTGGACTTGGGAGCTGTAAGGACTCTATATGGTTTTCTGGAGGCTGGGGAGACAGAATGGTAAACTAACTACTCTGCCAAGTTATAACCAGAAACAATAGTTTAAATGTTAAGATGTGATGAACTGCTGAATGCTTTCTGTGGCAGAGTTGCTTTAGAGAAACAGGGTATAAACTTCAAGTTGTGTCTCTCTGTCACTGTCCTTATCAACAGCTTATCCATATACTATGATAGTTGCATATTTCATGGAGATAATCTTTACACAGTTGATAGCACTCCTATTTGGTGAAAAGCACAGTTTGTGTGCAACTGCTAGATAAATATCTGACATGTCTTCTGATAGCAGTTCTTTTTACAGTTTACTTCCTGAGGGTTGGGAGATATTTCTGTGGTCTTGATAGAGTTCCATGTTTTTAATGCACTGTATTTCAGACATGTCTTTCTTTAACTGTATTTTTCAGATATGCCAATAGTAGCCTCATAAAATACATGGAGAAACACAAAGTCAAGCCTGACAGCAAAGTTTTTCTTTTGGTAGGTGCAACTTGAAAATTGCTGTGATGACATGAATGAAATTGTATTTCTGAGGGTAATATCTGTTTTCCTATCTCATTATAAAGAACACCAATGTTAAAGAAAGCTATTTATCACTAACCAGCCATTTTTGAAATGTGTTTTCTTCATACACAAATTGTTTAAACTGCTGGAATTGAAGATCTGAGAGTCTTCTCTAATTAAGATCTGCAAGGCATTTGTATACACAGCCTTACCTTTAGGTTTGCTGTGCAAATAAGAGAGTGAGTATAACTTGTGTCTTGATTCTGTCTGGCTTCAGAGACCTGAAGAGCCCCCAAAAGCTAAAGAGTTTTGTGAAGAAGGGGAAGAGGAAAGGAAAAATTTATTTCCTGTAGTAATTTGGTTTTTCTTTTTCTTCCTCTGACAGTAGTCCACCACTGCTCTGGGGATGATTCCAAACAAAATCCCTAAACATATATTTGCTGGTTGCCTAGATGAGTCATCCATTGTAGGCCAACACAGGGTTGCTGTGTCTAATACAGCATAATTTCTGGATGTCTCTGTGATGACTTAGTGCTGTCTAAATTTAGGAATGAAGTTCAAAGTGACTTTGCTAGTGCTGTGTACAGGGAGCTCTGTAATGAGGCTCTTAGTGCAGCTTGACTTTCAGTGGTCTGTTTTCAGTTACAAATTCAGCATAGCAGTCATCTCTCTATGTCCTGGCAAAGATTTGCTCTTTGACTCATTAGTTGCTGCTGGATGATGACACAAATAGCTGTGGAAACAGAATAGGTTGGTTCCAAGTGGGTGGAAGGGAAGAATTTCCATAAGAAGAGTGAGACTTGTAGAAAAATTAATTAAAATTTCAAACTGAGCTTACTGGGCACACGTTGGAGTCACCTGGAGGGTAAGTCTAACTGAAAAGACGACAATTATAAGAGACATCATTATTTAACACATGAATTTCCATATTTTCCTACCACAAGTGAAATCCACCAGAAAACCTGCTTGCTGTCAGCTTATATTACTAATTCCCTAAGGCTGAACACTGAGTTGAGACTCATCTTGGGTGGGTTGGCTGCTTTTTCCAGGGGAAATATTAACCAGATCTCTGAAGAACAACAAAACTAAGCATACTTTGCCCTTCTTTCTGAATATTGTGACAGACTCAGTTCTCTAAATCAGGTAGTTTGTTAGATTTTTCTCACAGTTCAAGGAATGAATAAGGGTGGTTTAATGATCAGAGACAGAGGCTGATCTCAAGTAGGTCAGTCTCCCAAAGCTCTGAATAAGAATGCCCAGGAGTATGGACTACCTTCCTGATATCTCATTGCTGTACATTGGAGGTACATGTATTGTGAAGCAGACTCCCTAAAACTCCTTGTTCATATCCAAGGTAGTTATTTTTATGAGATGATATCCATCTTGCAGGTGACCTCTGAAGACATTTGCTTTGTAGCCATCATTGATTGAGACTGTGCTAATGAGTACAGGAAGTGTGGTGCATGGGGAACAGATGGCTTCAAGTAGATCAGTGCAGGATAGCAAGTAACTCTCAACAAAGAGAATGATATTATGCCATTCTGCTGTTTGACATTGAATGATAATGTCTACATGAAGGGCAGAATGTTTTCCATTCAGGGAAAAGCATCTGTTCTTGCTGTCCTGGAAAAGTTACAAACATAGCATTCATAGCTGTCATGTCAGGCCAGTGGAGCTTGAGAGCCTGAGAGCTTGAGACCTGCTGGGAAAGTATGAGATTTTGATGAAATCTAGTCTCATTGGTTTCCTATGTTGTCTTAGCATCTGCTGCCCTAAAAACAAATTGTCTCCAGACTTTTTTTTTTTTTTTAATTCATTTTCCCAGAAACTACAGATAATCAGAATTTCTCAAAGAAGTTAGTTCACAGTAGCATCACCAATAGGCAGGTTATTTTCTGGGAGTGATATTGTGGTTGGTATTACTTGGAATGGGCTAGCTGATTGTATCCTCAGGAGCAGGAATGATAATGGAAGGAGTCCAGGGGGCAGAGGCTGAGGCCCTGTGCTTTTCTGTCAGCGATGACATCTGGTACAAAAGATCAGGAGTGGCCTTGTACAGAATATACATTTTTGTCCCTGCAAGTCTCTGTGGAGGAACTGGGAAATTTGCATAACCTGTAATAGTGCCAGCAGCTGCTGTAGCTGACAAAAAATTTTCATGTAGGGAAAGGTGATATGAAGTAAAGATACTGAGTACCAAACTATTGTCTATATTGTATTGTGTGAGGTCACTATGTAGAGAGCCAACATATCATTAGAAGTTCAGTTTGTGAAGGTGCACAGAAAATGTAGGGTTAAGAGTTACTTCACCACACAAAAATACAGTAAGTACCCATTCAAAGCCTCCAGATGTATACAGTGCAGGAATAGCTTGAGGTTTATCTCTAGGCAAGCAGCAGAGATCCATTGAGGAGCTAGTTGCAAATGAACTGATAGGTGGAGAGACAGTCGAAATGGCTGTTTTGCTGTGAGTCTTTTGAGGTCTGTGGCCAATAAAGTATGTGAATAAAAAGAGCTGGGAAGGAAATGGCAAACATACAGAGAGTCTTGAGAGTTTATCTATCAAGCAGAATTAACGACAACTATTGAGAAATATGATTTCTTGCATTTCCTTTCTTGAGGAGGGTGAGTGCTTTTATTGAGGCTGTTTGCTGTAGCATATATATAGAATATAGAATTGTATGTCAGGTTTTTATTTTATTAGAATAAAAAGCCCCAAATACCCATGCCAAGATCACATTATTTTGTTGAATATCCAGGCAGTTTTTGTTGGAGACCTGAAAGAGAGTTTGAGCTGAGATGTCCTTTATGGAAGGAAATTTATTTTCACTACTAGCTTGAATTAAAAGAGTATTGTGTGAGAGCAGGATACTGTACAATGTGAGCACCCAAATTTCCTACTGTAAGTTTATCAGAATGTGATAAATAAGTAACTATATTAAATGGTGTGATATGCCTATAATTCCTGTTTTATACTACTAATATATTGTAATCCTCTTTTATAGCCTACTTTAATCAAAAGCATTCTAGCTAATAAATTTGTGCTTGTTTTCCTCCTAGCAAGGAAGAAAGGTTACTAGGAAGGGTCTGTTCCTTCTCATTTTGGTACCAATTAGAGTGGGTTTGGGAGCTGCATGAGTAGCAGAGTGCTCTGATTCTGGAATGTTGCCAGTGCAAGAAATGAAGATTTATTGTTTCCATCCCTAAAGCGATATGGAGACTCCTGGTTGTGTTCAGTCCATTCTGACACTTTTTTCCTTTTGTGTCAGCTATGTAGAACAGTATAAAAGCTATACATGTACCACAACAAAACCTATTATTTAGAAATAATGTTTTATGAACTTGCAATAGCTGAATTTAGCATTGCTTTAGTGCAGTGGTTCAGACTGAGCAATTAATACTGATACACTTAACTTTATTACATGAGAAGTACTTCACAGCCACAGTACTTTGATGGATGTGCAGTGTAGTTCTCGGGAACTTCACTGAATGAGCAATGTTAACTTAGCCTTGTCTGGACAAGCCAGAAATAATTTGGCAATCCACAATCCAAGACATATAAGTCATAGTTTGAAAAATGATAGTTTGATAAGCTTTTTGCTATTTTTATTGTTATGCTTTGCAGCTTCAGAAGCTTCTTACTATGGACCCTACAAAGAGAATTACCTCAGAGCAGGCTTTGCAGGACCCCTATTTTCAAGAGGATCCTCTGCCTACGTCAGAGTATGTATTCCCTCTTCTGTGCACATCTGAGGCAACTTCTTTCTGCTACATGCTAGTCTCTGAAATTACATGGTGGCTGAAAAATTCACAGGTACCTGCCTGTGTCCACAAGAAGTTGCAGCTCAGCCATGCTCGGTAGAAACTACAAGTGTAGTACAGAAGTGTCTGTATTTACTGGTGCCAGTGCTGAGTGGTCATGAAAAATAACCCAGTACTGCAGTAGTTTTGTAATTCTGAGCATAGTAGAGTTACACCATTACTGCAGCATTTAGAGAATCAATCTCTGCCTCACACAGTCTCACAGAGCCCTGTTCTCCATTGCCTGGTTGACTGTGCCTCTCCCTAGGAGTGGGACAATTCTCTGACCTACAGCCCATTCCCATGCCCTCTTTGCACAGGGCAGCAATATGAGAAAAGAGAAGAGATAAATGGCTGCCTAAAATCCCACAAATCCCTTGTTCAGAAGGCTTGAGAGTACAGAAATGGTATCTGTATTTTTTGTTGTCATGAAAAGTTCAAATGACATATTCAATTCCAGGTGGCAGACTTTGTCCATTTCTCTTCCCAATTTTCCAGAAGCATGGGGGGGCATAGCATTATGATCTGTATGAACTTGATGCAGGTAGTCTTCTACCTTTGCTTTCACTGTTTCCTCAACTAGCAGGCAACACCAAAAGGAGGGAACAGTCACTGGAATGAAAAAGGAGTCTAGTTGAGACTAGTTGGGTTTTTTAAATTAATTTTTCTGTTTGAAAAAATTAAACACTACATAGCAGCAAGATTAAGAGCTGTTCACACCCTTTTAAAAACCACGTCATGTTCATTGTATTCTGAATGTTGGCACAGAAATGTAAGAAATTGATACTGGTCAAGATCTACCAGTAATTTTCTGCTTAGTGTTTATCTGATGCTACCCTGTGGAGGACTGTAGCTCCCCATGGATTACAGGATAACATTATGATAAGGTCTCTGCCATAAACATTAAGGAATGTTCCAAATTCCATTGGTCAGATGAATTTGAAAGTGACTTTTTCTTTCCTAAACAAGACCTAAGAAGCTTAGTGAAAGTAACTTTGCAGTTGTGATTAGCAAATATATTGAAACCTGTTGTAAGCCAAGGCAGGCTCATAAGATATTAATACTCTTTGGATCAGTCTCCTTATTCAGTGAGCCATGCATGTTCCAACTGGGTGTTGTGGAACCTCTGACACTGTGTTTGTTCATTTTGCCATCTGGATCAACAAGTGGTCGTTCTGGCATTTGGGCATGTTCAACCATGCCATGATTTCTAAATGACAGCCTTGTGCCAGCAGCAAAGAGATCTGACATTACAATCAGCACCTATCTTGGGTGCTCACACTGCCACTCACTTGTGGAAACGGGATTTGTCAAATACAAGAAATGAAGTTGTGTTATACGCACTCATTTTTAACATAGTGTTAAGTAAATGTGTGCCATGTGTACATATTTGTGGAGTATTTACTGTTTACTGTGTTTCAGTGTATTTGCTGGCTGTCAGATTCCATATCCAAAAAGAGAATTCCTCAATGAAGATGAACCTGAAGAGAAAGGGGATAAGGTATAGTAAACTCCTTGTTTGGCTGGGGTTTTTTTACTTTCAAGTGTGCAATAAGAAAGCGTCATGGTTCCAAATGAAAATTAATGAAACATGAAGAGTTAACTAAAAATGTGTTTCCAAGGCAAAGCTCTCTTAAAACTGCTTCTCAGACAGTTGAAAAGTATCAGATGCCTTGGGGTGTCTCAGGTGGTATCACCATCACGGTTTGCCCTGACCTGTGGGGAATGAGCTGGATGGGCTGTTCTGTCAGCTGTAGCCTGCTGTCAGTTGCTGTCATTCCAAGAAGACCTTGCTACCTCCTCCAGCATTGCATGATGAAAATACGTTGTGAGCACATGAAAAGAATGACATTCTCATTGTATGACTGGCATCCGTCCAGCCATTTGAATGTAGATGGCTGTCGGGACAAATAAATAGTGGCAGCCTGCTTCTGGCACTACATCAGAACATTTCATCCATCTGCATGCAGTTTCCTGATCTTGTTGTAAGGACCCTTAGACAAAGGAGTAATAAGGATTCTGAACTGTTCTGGTAGCAACAATCTGCTCTGGATATTCTCTTTTCCATAGCCCCATAGACACGAGCGAGAACTTGGTTGTGTGCATAATAAATTTTGGTGTGTTTGCAACACAATCTGATCTGCTTGGTGCATGTAGCTCAGCTGTGCTGTGTGGCCATAGCAATTGTCCCATGGTGCTGGGAAGGCCAGACAATGGTGCTATAGTGTAGGAAGCAGTGTGTTATTTTCACGGAACAGGGTACAGTTAGGCACCAGCAGTGATGTATAGCTAAGAAAATGTGAAGAAGAACAGTCTTGGACTGTTGTTATCTGAGGACTATGTGAGAAGGGCTGTTGTCCTTCAAAGAAACCATTTGACTACATGAATATTCTGTTTACAATTTTCTGCACAGCATGACAAACTAGCTGAGCTTAAACCTATATTTTAGAGAGCAAATTTTGTTTTCAGAACTGATATTGCAAATTTTTCTTTACTGACAACAAGTGGTAGTATCCACGATTTTTGTGTCCAGATAGTTTTTTCCAAAGGAGGAAACAGACCCCTGAGCAAAAAAAAAAATCAAATTCATTATACTAATTTGATTATAATTTAGTTACTAGTTTTGCTTCAACTCCCACAGCCTCAAAAAACAAGATGAAACTTATGAATTAAAATTACTCTGTCTTTTTTATATTTAAGTCAGTGTACTTGAAAGGAAATATCTGTCTTTTCCCAGGCAATGTTGCAGGAGTGATGACAATGGCATATTTATATTTAAAACAGCCAATATATAAATGGTCTTCAAGATTGTTGAGGACAGTCAGGTATTTATGCACTCTCCAAATTAAACTTTTTCTTAGACCATTTAGGTAATACAAGTCCTACATTACTCACTGAATATGTTCCCGCAGTGTAGAAAATGTGGAGATAAAGGCTATTCTGTTCCATGTTTTGTTGCTTTATGATATTATTGTAAATGAAAAGTTGTTTTTTTTTTTTTTAGACTATTTTGTTACTGCTTTGTTTTTAAAACCCTAAATATCTGTATAATCATTTATATAATCACAACCTAGGGAAGTTGTCTCTGTTTATTTGGAACTTACATCTGAATTAAATAGCATTTAGCATAAGCATCTGTTCTTCAAAATAGTTAATTGTTAGCTAGCAAGACTAAAATGAGGGTTTGTAAAACAAAGTGAAAATACATTTTTATCATTTAAATTCTATTAGGCAGGTTTCTGCTCGGTTTGTTTCTAGGTAGGACTGAAATTTCATTTTGGTAATTTGTGCCTGAGAGGTGACATATGGCAATGGGTTGTTAAGTATAGACCTTTCATGAGTTTAGTTATTTGGGAACTACCATGAATCAGACTGACCTGAGGACAGGGTTTTTGCTGGTGAAAGCCATTTTTGTGCAGTTAGGCGGTGCAGCCAGGCCCCAGCTGGAGACTGACAGAGCAGGTCTCAGTCTCTAGACAGGCAGTAGCAATAGTAGTTCCACACAAGAGCCAACTCTGGCTAGTCAACTAAATTTTGTGCTAAAATCTGAAGTGCAAAACCTGGGACCTACAACAAGCTCTTGCCTTTAATTGTGAGAGTCCCTTTAATATTTGTCTACACAAAAAAAATCAAAGTTTTTTCAGTTCACACAATAGTAATTATCTTACTTGCATCTAAACACTCCTATGAAAACACAAATCTCAGAATTCTAACACAAAATAGTACCTTAGTTATTGGTGTTTTGTTTGTGTAAGTGAAGTTCCAACCATTATGAAAAATAAATTACTTCTTAATAGTTTTTTTGTTTACAAACTAGTTTGATTAACTTTTTAGATTATTGAAGTTTAAATCTACCAGGAAATAGAATCTGACCAAGATGAGATTTGAGGACTGTATGCAGGAGGATACATTATGGCTTTTGCTAAATGTGAAATGGAATTGTGGGCCATCTCTTAAGTCCTTGAAGGTGCAAGTCTTCTTTGTAGTCTTAAATGAATACATCACTGCAAATTTCGTTGGAACGTATCTTGGGAGACTATTGTGATGAATGGCATAGATGCAGATCTTTAATGTCATTTATCTGGGGTAACTAAAAGCCTCAAGGTGAAAGGGGCATCAAGAATTTGCTAGTGGCAACTGGTTGTCATAATTTCTGTGAAACTAATAAAGTAAGGTTTTTAATTAAAAGGCTTCCATACTAAAGCTTTGGTCATTATATTAGCAGATATTCTAGAAAAAAAAAAAAAAAAAAAAAAGCCCTATCCTGGAATGTTCCCTATAGTATACTAGGGGAAGGATAGGAAGGCTTTTTAATTCAATCTGTGTCAGTTTGAAGGTTTTTTTCTTTATGAGCAAGTGACATCTTTCCCAGAACTGTAACCACAGAGGACAGAGTTGCACCCGGTTCATTTTTTTTGATCTTCCCTCCTCTTCCTCAAATATTCCTTGTAGTCTATAGCCCTCTGAAGCCAGAAGAGCTCTCAATGTCTTTTGTTCTTGTGTTCTTCTTCTTAACTTTTTTTTTTCCTTCTGTGACACTTTTCTGTTTATTTTCCTGCTAGGAGCCAGTGTCATCTTAATTATCTGGCTTCTCTTCCTTTGCTATTTTCTCCTTCCCTTGCCAGATCCTTCTTTCAGTGTTTCCTCCTCTTTTGTCTTCAACATTTCTGGTTTATTTTCACTTTTCTGCTGTTTTTTCACTCTGTACATTGTGCACCATGCTGGGCCCTATTCCCAGTACAGCACTTTTTGCAAGGTGCTTAAAACCACAGGAAACCAAAATAGTAATGAAACCCATTTCTGGTTTTGCCACAGAATTTCCTCGCAACCAAGAAGACATGATAGAATTGCTTTGGTCTCAATGTGTTTACCTTTCTGGCAGTAATACTGTCAGCCTTCTTCAGGTGAAAATTGAGAGTTTAAAACATGATTTTGATTCTGCATGAACAAGGCCATTGAAGCACTTAGAACAACTTACTGTGGGTTCCCCATGTCTGCCACTGAGCACTAGCAAAATTTTGGGTGCTTTGATTTGCTTCATTAGATTATTACTGCTTTATAAAGGGTTCCTTTTATCGTCTTGGTTTGAACAAGACAGGTGTCCACTGAGGGAGGCAGGAGTCTTCATTGAAATGGAAAATGTAAGCCCCCTCCCTCCAAATTATTATGATTTTTGAAATTAGGAGGCTCTCAGGCAAAGATATGGGAATAGGAATAACAGTTCTTTACTAGGAAAATTAAAAACACAAATGCAGTAGTACAAACAAACAAAAAAAACCCAACCCACTGACAGAGTTAGAATATGACCTGACACCCTGTGGGTCAGGATGTTGGTAGCACTCTGATTAAATGGCTGCAGTGCTTCTGGATTGATAGATGTGGTTCTGCTAAAACAATGATCCTGTAGAAGGGTGTGGTTTTCCTCTGAACGTTCAGTGGTAGTATAGGTGGGCCTGGTCTTCCTCTGGGAATCCAGTGGAGGAGAAAGCTGCTTCTCTTGAAATCCAGTGGAAAAGGCTGCCTGTGGTGTTCCAAATCTCAGATTATATCCAGGTAGGAATGCTTGGCTCCTCCCCCTGGGCAGAGCATCTCACAGTGGGATGATGTAATTTTACCAATGAGACTCAAGGGCCCTTGATATCAGAAGATATCTCCCCAAGGGAGGATGGGATGTAGAAGGGATAAAGAAAAACTGTCCAATTAACAGAAGATAACTGCTCCTCCTCTAACAGATGATAACAGAATACACAACCCCACCCACATCTTGCAGCCCAGGACACCGGCTAGCTGTAGGAGGCACTCAACTGTCTTTCCAGTTTAAGTCCAGCTTATCTCATTAAAAAAGCAAAATGACCACAAGTGGGACACCCCACAGGTGTGCAGGTCTGTACTGGGGGTGAACTTCTCCCAGCATTCAGCCTTGCTGTGTTTTCCCATCACATGAGGGCCTGCCTCCCTCGCAGTGACACTGGCGTTGGCAGCTCCACGAAGCTGACAAACCTAGCTCAGAGCAAGTGACCCTGTTGTGTTGCTTCTTCCCTCAGAATCAGCAGCAGCAGAATCAGCATCAGCAGCAAACAGCACCTCAGCAGCAGGCGCAGGCAGCGCCGCAGCAGCCACAGCCGCAGCAGCAGAACAGCAGCCAGACCAACGGGACGGCGGCGGGCGCTGGCGGGGCAGGAGGGGGCGCAGGCGCGGGGCTCCAGCACAGCCAGGACTCCAGCCTCAGCCAGGTGCCTCCGAACAAGAAACCACGCATAGGGCCTTCAGGCACTAACTCAGGCGGGCCTGTCATGCCTTCAGATTATCAGGTACCTCTGCAAGTTTTGCTGCTTCTGACACTATAGGGCCAAGGGACAAAATGTCGTTTTCCCCCCTTCCCAACTGCAAGAACAGACCACGTTCTAATGAATTTTTGATGTAACCTGTGGCATGCTGAGGTTTTATTCTGTGATTAGTAATTTTCAATAGAATACAGTTTGAGTTGTACCTACTGCACCCTTGTAAAGTGTTGAGGACTAGTCCACTCCAGGAAAACACTTAAATATTTGCTTAACTTTATATTTTAAAGTAATCTTGCTGAAGCCAGGGGATGTAAATGCTGCATTGCATCAAGTTTAGGATACTCGAGTCTTGGCGATATTAAATCCCGTGTGAGGCGCAGATGTGAGACAATCCTGAGAAGGAGAAGCAAAGGTAGAACCAGGCTCTCCCATTTCATTCCTCCTATTGTCACATGTATGAAGTGGTTCTGTAGTTTATTCTGGTATCTTTCTAAGACTACTTCTAATGTTAAAGAAAAAAAAAATGCATGTAAGCACAGGAATGGCCACTTGGTTCATCTGTTTGATTCATGTCAGAGTAGGGCACAAAGACATGAATTGTTTCTAATGTGACCAAAGTAGAACAGATTTCATGTTTTCTGGTACAGTACCATTCATAAGGAAAAGCACTATCACTGAATATTTTTTGAATTTGCATATTTGTCTTTGCTTACCAGAATTATATTTTCCACCAAAAAAGTGACTTACATTAAATATAGAAAGCATTGAACTTATCAGGATGTTCAGTATAAACTTTGAAGTTTATACTTGCTGGAGCAGTAATTAGTTGAAAGAAAAAAAAAAGTTAGATATTAAGGGTAAATTTTAAATTATGCTAGGATTCTGTCTGCTCCTAGCCTCCAAGAGGATCCCACCTTGGGGAATGGTTTTTTCAGGCTGCTTTAAAGTTAAAATAAGTAGAGTTTAAGTTACCAGCTCTACAGTTGTCTTAGCCATCCAGACCTTCTCAACAGACAATTGATTACTCAGTGCCAGACATATTTCTCCCATTTTTGTTTAACTCCTTTAGTTACAATTTTCATGAAAGCATTCGGGGCAATATAAGGGGAAAGACAACTAGGTTTCTTTTTTGAAAAGTTCCAGACAGGCTTGAGGCCTTGAACAGATCAGTACATCTGTCTGACTGCAGCAGTATTTATGGCCGGTCTGGTTTGGTCTATACTTTGAGGACTGGTGTGCTGCATTTGATGATATCCATTATAGAATTCTTATCCAGTTCTCTGAATTGTTGGCAAGCTTGCCCCTTACAAGTTGCTAGTAGTCTAAATATTCTTTTGTTTTCAGATTTTTTTGCCCTCTGTGATGCTTTCCTTCTAAACTTTAACAGCACAGGCATCAAAATCATGATCTGTGTGTTTCTTTTATGTTACTCACTAAATTGTATGGTCTGATTATCCATTTTTACACTTGTTTGGCTATATGCCTTTTAATGTCAAGCTGACTATCTTCTGTTCCAGAAAGGAATGTCTGCAATTTGCCCAAGTCTGACTTTATTAAAAACAAATTCTCGTATGTGAAACAAAAGTAAGCATGGGCAAGTTAATGCATTCTTTTAATCTTAAAAGACTCCATTTTATCTTATTCGGAAGTAGATAGAAGATTCTCTTTGCATTGAGTTTCACTTAGCTTGTGGTCTGAAGTCTCTGTTGAAGTTTTTTCATTCACCAGCCTCAATATATGTTGCTTCCCCAAATGGCAGTGCAAAACTCTTTGCTGAATTTTACCGAGCCTTCCTTATGTGATCTTGGGTATTTTTCATACCATGGTGAGCTGATGCTTTTCATCCAGAAAGAGCACCTATAAAGTCATAGAATTTATCACAATTCTTTTTTTTTTCCATTAAAATTTGAAAAACTTCCCAGAATTTTGAGAAAAATTTCAGGTTTCAGATACTGTGTTACAAAACCAGCCTTATCCGGGATTGTGGTGGGGTTTACCTTGCTGTCCATTGAGTAGAACTTCTCATGCCAAATGATTTTGCAACTTGGATTACTGGGCAGCTCATGATTAATTCTGAATGGGAAATTGTTATGATAATGAAAGGGCAAATTCAGCAGGCCGGAGGTTGCAAGATCCACAGATTTGTCTTGCTGAGGTTGGAGTCCACTGAGCTGACGGTTCCAAACTGTGGAAGGGAAAAAAAAATACTCAGGAAAATTAGTGTTAGGTTATGTACATACACATACCCATGTTTAAGCAGTTGTCCTTGTTTGCAGTAGTTAAGGGATCAAGTTAAAAGACTCACTTAATATTATATTATTTAGTCTTAATGGACAATTTTTCGTTTAGATAAATTGAGTAGTAGTCATGGTTGTCTTTTTCTCAGGAAAGAATAAAACGTTTATAATGTTTAGTATTGCCCATCTTGGGAAGGGTGTTTGTAGCCTTAACATTGATAGCATTTACAATAGCCATAGATGTAAGTTTAAGAAACGGTGAATTTTGAAAGGGAGTCTGCTCTCTTTGTCTCTTGTGTATTTTTACTTCAGAAAATGGGTGTGTACATGCTGTACTTTTAGGTACAAAAGTACCTAACTCCAAGGGTTCTTGTGTATTTTGTGTGCTGTATTAAAGCCAATTGCAGATCAGAATGATGACTTGTTTTATGGGACCCTAAATAATAGCACTATTTAGTCGGCTTCCAACAATCATGTTTAATGAACACCAGAGAGGTTAAAACTTTCCTGAACTGCACGGTCCTGGCGGGCTGAACATGTTATGATCGTTCCATTGATCCCTCTCTTTTTTCCTGCAGCACTCCAGCTCGCGCCTGAGTTACCAAAGCAACATTCAGGGATCTTCTCAGTCCCAGAGTACAATGGGCTATTCCACATCGTCTCAGCAGAGCTCTCAGTATCACCAATCTCATCAGTCTCACAGGTACTGAGGGGCCTGGCAGGCTGCACTCAGAAAGGAATGGACTAGAAGCCAGAAGACTCCAGCAATATGAAGTTCATAATGATGAGAAGACCAAAAATACAAACTATGATGCAGAATTAAAATTCATGATGATAAAAGGAAAACTTCACTCACTGAAGATTTCCCCCATCCCTACCCCATCCCCTTCCCTTTATTGCCATAAAGGAGATTCTTGTGAAGTTTTCCTTCCTTCCTGCCCTTGCATGTGCTCCATTGTGGTTACTCTAATGAACCCTTCTGATCTGAACCCAGCACTTAACTTCTTTATCCTTTGGAATTTTGAAGGATTCCTGGTGCACCTTCCTTATGCTGTAGTGATTGCCATAAATCTGTCTTTTCAATCTCTTTGATGGGATTTTAAAGTTTTAAAATCTTGAACTCCCAGGCTTTCAAGCTTGTAAATAGTTAGTTTTGTACTAGGCAAACCAGTTTAGCTATACAGGTATATTGCACCTTTTTAAAGCACTATGTTATTTTCACAGGATATTACTGTTTTGCTCATGGATGTCAAGAACAGCAAAATTTTACTGTTCCAGAGTATTTTACTATTCTGTTTTTATTAGTCTAGTTTTCAGGCAAAGTATTAAAAATAAAAAATTTTAAAAATTAATAAAATGAAAAAAAGAAAAATGAAAAAAGAAAAAAAACCACCCAAGTCTCTGCAGCAACAGATATGCTTCATGCTACTGGACTGAACGCCAAACAGAAGATTGCTGATATTTCTTAACTCATTCACATTGAATTCTTGAAATCACAGTGATCATGCTCTGACTAGTTTTAAATTAAGCATTACTTTAAGTGAAACCAGGACAGTCACATAAAAAGGAGATGCTTTCAGGATCTGTTGGAACAGAAGAATGGAATGTCTTCCCAGGCTGGACACCAAAATAGTCAGGAAAATGTATTTACTGCCCTCAAGTCTCAGTAGGAATGTGGATGACAGGCTTTTTCTGTATTTCTGTGAAGTAGCTTATTAATGTGTGTGAGAGTTCTATAAATTTAGCTTTCTTTCACATTCCAGAGTCAGTTCTCAAAATGTAAAGGTGACAGAAATACTAAGACTTGCAAAAACAAATGCATTTAATCATTTTATGTTAGAATTTATAATTAAGAGAAATTATTGTGCAGTTTGAAAAGCATGTTCCTGTTTCTTGTTTATAATGCATATTCTGTGTCCCTCACATTGCTGTGATTAACCAGATTAGTTACACCAGATGCGCCTGATTGCACTGAAATGTTTCTTTTTCCCTAGAGCAAACATGTTTTGATTGTGCCTAAGGGACTGTAAGTGGATGGGTAGCTGGCAGAAAATCCCTAGTAATTAAGCAAGAGTTCAGAAGCATAATCAGAGGATTATTGTCCAACTTCTGGAACCACAGTTATTCAGAGAGACACAACATGTAATTTGGGACAGCTTCGTTTTTGCTTCAGCCTTCAGAAATAAGGCTGACTCCTGTGGCAGAAAGCCTAGAGGAATGCATTTAGAAAGCTACTGGCAGTGTAACATCAGACAGCTTCTACAGCTGATGTCCAGAGAAGAGGTGACAGTTCAGGTGTAAATGGTCAGTGGTAACAGGTTTTTGTACTGCAGGTTATTCTCTTCTGTCCCATGCCCACACACACAAAAAAAATGGTATACCCATGCACATTCCATTCCCACTGAAGTTGTGATCAGATGTAGCAAGATGAGTAGGTCTGTTTGCTCTGAGGAAAATGCTTTTCATCACATATATGGTTCTACTGGATTTGATCTCCCAGTCATCTTTAGTGCCCCCTTCCTCCTCAAACTCATGCTGTGTTCCTGCTTTCTGGAAGCAGTTGGCTTGCTTTGGCCATACCTACCATCCTTTGATTTTGACAACACCCAGCTGCTCCAGAAAAGCAGCTAAAACCTGCTTTTGTCATCAAATGGATAAGAAGGTGGTGAAAAACTAAATGAAGCAATTGAAGGGAAAAATTATTTCTGGGGAAAAATAATCTCCCAAAGGATATTTTCAATATATAACCCTTGAAATGCTACATTTTATACATCCTGTAGTACTCTGAAAGGACAGGTTTTAATTGTTCCTTTATTTAAGTGACTGTGGAGTGACAATTCTTTCTGTCTCCCCCCCTTACTGATGTTAGGATGAGGTACTTTTGATCAAATGGATATTTGGCCAATGCTATTAAGTAACACTTCTTTTATACTTCTGCGATTTGAATGTCGCATTTCTGGAAATTAACTTATGGCAGAGTGATTTTTGTCCCCTTGTGTTCTTTTCATCCGTCTATTCTCTCAGAATTATTTTGTCTTTTCTACTACAGTTATCTAACATTTCTTTTCCCTGCTGTGACTTGCAGCTGATCATCAAAATTCATACAAGATCAGGAGGTGGCAGGGGACCACTGGTTAATTAAGGTGGGCTCTTGTGCCAATAAGGCAAAATCATGGTGTAGATTAATCTCTATGTAGAGTGTGAAACTTCACAGCAATGTAAGGTGCTTTAATTGAGTGAACTTCCAGCTTCTAGAGTGACTGCCAACAACCTCTCTCAGCTGTATTTAGCTTTCTTGTCTTGGTTGGGTTGATAGATGACCACATGCCACTCCTCTCTCTAGCTTTTATGTGCACAGGTGAAGCCGAGCTGACTTCTTCTGTTCCTCCAAATTCACAACTGGGAGGAGAGGGAATAAAAGCAACAGCACTGGCTGCAAAATGTAGGCTCTGCACACTCTTGTAGTTTCTTCCTGGGGGTGAAATAATTTGCCTTTTCTTGGGAGCTTGATGCATGCTGCCAGGGTTGGTGGCAGTCATAGTGGAAGAAGCCTTGATGCCTAGGAAAAAACTCTCTGCTTTTGGAAGTGAATTGTGCAGTTTGTTGTGGGAAACCAGGACTGTGTCATTTTTATGGGTTTTTTTTTGGCCTGTGCAGTTTCTTTATTACTCAGCTCTGTCTCTGCCCATAACCTACAGACTCTCAGCAAAGTGTTTCACACCTCTACTGAGAGGCGCAGAGCTGGCTTCTCCATCCTGGTGAGAGAACAGGCTGCCGAGCACAACTTTTCACGTCGTGGCTCAGAGGAAACAAACATGTGGGGAATGAGCAGCCTGGTCCGCGTTGGGGAAGTTTATGTAGCACAAACTGCACAATGAAGGAAAAATAATAGGGAAAGCTGCAACTCCTGCACTGTATCTGTGACACTGTATCTGGGGAGGGGGAGGGAAGCGCATTCGTAGCGGGAGGGGTGGCGGGAAGCTAGAAGTGTTCAAATATGTATGATATTTTATATAAACATAATAAGCTTAGTTCCCCTTCATAATCTTCAGGAATGGTACTTTAACACCATTAAGTAAAGAATTGTTTTAGGATTAAATAAATGTATTGTACATAAGGCCATACGTAATCTTCTAAAAATGTCGCCAGACAGGAGCGATGTGTATTACAATATGAAAAAAGTCCTTAATGCACTGTTATCTCCTAAATATTTAGTAGTAAATTAATACTATTTAATTTTTTTAAAAATTTGTCTTGTGTAGACACTAAAAAGTATTACACAAAATCTGGACAGAACATGTCCTTTTTAACAGCAATTTAAAGAACTTTTTATATATGTAAGGTAGTAACTTTTCAAATTGTTCTAGTTGTATATTCCCATGTTTACTATTTGTGGAAGTGTGCCTGTCTCTTCTCAGTTATTTTTTTTTCCTAATAATTTCATGCACGCATCTTTCATTTTTGTAGTTTCCATTAGAAATTACTGTGTATGCGCCTGGTGCTGCCACAAAACTTTCCTGCTCTAGATCTGTGGTGGCTGCATTCGGTAGTGCCCATGCCAATGGGCTACCAAAACCACGAAGCAAATACTTGTTTCTCATTCTAGAGTTGAGAGTTTACTGCTTTTAAGTTGTCCTGATGTCACTCTTGAAATGACTGTTAAAACTAAGCTATGAGTTCATTGCATTTATTTTATATTCTTGGTTGTAATGAAATGGAATTGACTTTGCTTCAGTGTGAATTTTTTTAATAAAATAATATACATTTGTAATAATAATAAAAAGTTTAAATCAAATAAGCGTGCAGAAAAGTTTTGTAAACATCAACTTTGGGCTACCAGTAGGGAAAATTTAGCCCACAAAATTGCAGTTGTAATTCTGTTCAGGATGTTTATGATATCATACACCACAGAAAACAAAGCTTGCAAAGCTTCAGGGTTGAAATTACAGTTTTTAAAATGCCCACGAGAATATTCACAGCTATGTGTCTATCAAAATAGAATGAAGCTTTATGGAAAGCAGGATTGATGGAGTGTTCTCTTAAGTTTTGCTCTCCACTTGTAAGCGTACAGATCTGCCACACTGATGGCACTTGCTGAGATTCATTATAACTTGCAAGACAATCCTGTAGATGCATCTTCTGAAAAAGAAAGCTGTTTTACTCTGTTCTGGAAAGAAATGCTTTCCTGTTTTCTTCGCCTGCTGGATATTGGAGCAGTTCAAGTATTTCAGGTGGTAACATGGAAAGTGTGAGCTAGAGCATTATTGGTGGGTTTTCACAATGGGATTTTGTGTGCTTTGCTAGTCTGTGTGTTTCTGTTCCATCTAACTTTTATTGAATGGATTGATGGAATGGAATGGATGGATGGATGGATGACTTCTTCCAAAAATCCCACTTGTCTTTATCGTAAGAGTTGTATGGGTAAGAACAGTTGGGATTTACTTGCACTGCCCATTGCCTTAAGAAAGAGGCTTTGTTTTTTGATGTGCCTGTTACACAAGGGTGGGAATAGGAGTGGCCTTTTGACAAAAAGCTTAGTCTGCATCTCTGACACCTCAAGACAGAGCTGTTCCTTCAGCCTCAATGCAACTGAATATTCCCAACTCTGTAACCCCCAGGGTTTCTGCTTCTGGTGTCCTTTTGTTGATACAATTGTGCTTAGTAAACAGCTTTGACTTGCATGTTTCTGAAACCTCCTATGCCAGCTCTGTCTCAATCTCCATTCTTTTACAGCACATCTCTCTATTTTTCCTACCTGCTCGTTCAGTTTACAGTCTAATCCAGTCTGATCATACTGATCTAGATTAATGGTGTTCCTTTTTTGTCCTCGACAGCTAAACAACTTTGATTTCACAGCCACTGAGAAAGTTGCAGAGTGGGTTGTTTATTAGTCTTTTGCTTTGACTTGTTGCTTCTTGCTCTGTGTTATTGCCCTGGCTCTGCCATCTCTGTTGCATTAGTTGTAAAGCTTCTCTCTTCACTTGCTCATGACTGCCAAACTTTTGTTTGGCAGTTACGCTATCCCTCTTACTGTTACGCTATCCCTCTTACTGAAATCAAGACGTTAGGTAAGTTGCCTCTTGGTCTCGTTGTCCCACCAGGTCAGCCTTTGCACCCTTAATTTTTAGTCTTCTAAACAAGCATTTGTAGGCTCTTTTTCCAATTGCCCACTGTTTCTGAAGAGATGTTGCATATAATTCTGAAAAATTCGCTCCTTGGTGTTTTCTGCATCCCTCATTAAAACCCCTTGGCATTGATGTATACAGAAGTTTAGTATTTTATGCTACTGGTGGGCAAGGAGTCATATCTATTGTGTAAATGAAAGCTGCTCCAGTGTTCACTTTGCCTTCCAGTCTGTCTGCATCCATCATATCCCTGCATGCTCCTTGCAAGCTCCCTTGTGACAAGAACAGTCATTTTGTTCTGAATACAGTAGTTTCATGACTGGGGCTTGCAGCTCTCTGGAATATGAATAATAATCACTGCAATATCATGGTGTTTTACTGCTGGACAATACACAGTAGTAGTGTTGCCACTTTCCATGTGCTATTTCAACACAAGAAGCATCATGTTAGTGCCAAACACCAATTTAACATGGCTAATCACAGAACCTGAGCAAGCATTGTTCCAATAGCTAGCAAAGGTTAATGATGGTGTTCTTGTAATGTTGTTTTAACAGGTAGGTTCTGCTTTTTTACTTTCCAGGGAGCTTCATATCCTTGTTTGCGATCACAGAAAAAAATCCAGAAACTTTGGCTTATATTGGTGGTTTTATAGTAATTTAGAAAATTATTATTGCATAATTGCTACAATTATTTTTTTCATTTGCAAGAAATATTTATTAGAACAGCAGTTATTGAGGTAGATTAAAATCACCAACAAGGTTATGAAAGATATGTGTACAGTCATAGCTGAGCTGCTGAAACTGCTGGGGGAGTACCACAACTGTTATGTAACAGATTGCCAAGTTAATCCGGAGTAGGTGTTTAAAAAAATTATTATTGTTGTTATTATTACTATCATTGTTATTGCAAGTCTGAAAGTAATACCAACCTACCTAATATTTTTTATGTAATGTACTTACTTTGGAATAGGGTCAATATTTCCAGCTTGGTGTATTGGCATATTGCTATGTGTATTGTAGGGTCTGTAACAAGCCATTTCTATGATTATTTTGTGTGTTCTCTGAATTGTTATAAAGAGGACAGACAGCCTGAGAGTATTTAGCTCCTACATGTGCATTGCATGCACAGAACATGTGGCTAAATGAAGTATTCAGCAATACATTAACTTAGCTAAAATGTCTTATGATGTTGTTCAGTAAGAAGTTGTTTGAATAAAGCTGGTATATTAAATTATTACAGAAATAATTGTGATTCTGAAATAATTTTTAAATCATTTTGCTTTGCTTGCACTGTCAGTAAATGTGGTAAATAAATTAGTAAAGGAAAATCTGAATTATTTTTTAAATATTACTTTAAAAAAAAATAGTTGTTTGCTATTGAATCTTGGATGTAATGTGATAGCAAACAATAATATATTTTATGCCACCTCCATCCCACAAGAAGACATCATGTCTCAAGTACCAAAAAACCTGATATGTGAAGCACTGAAGAAAGGAATTCTTCATACCTAGCAGCAGCAGACAAAGTTTTAATTATGAACCAAATACGCCAAGTGGTGTATGGCTCAGACATCCTTTCTATGGCCTGCATGTAAGCCTACACTGGTAAGATTCTTCCCTGTATTCACAAATAGGAATTCCCTGGGTGGTTGTGGGGGGAGAAGAAGGAGTGAAAGCATGCAGCCTTCTGATTTTGTAAAAAAGTTTTAATGCTATCAAATGTAGGTATCTGCAGTTCTCCAGTTCATAATGAAATTCTAAATACTTAAAAGTATGTATTTTTAACATTTGTTAAAAATCTTTTCTACCCTTGTCTGGGCAATGTGGCATAGCCCTGCTCTGAAAAGATAACCTCAACTCTGCATGCATGACCTGGTCAGGGGCATGGTTGTCAATTCAGTCTTGCAGACAATTTACACAACTGGACACTGAACTTTAACCTGTAAGCTCAGGTCACACAGGTCTGTGGAAAGCAATCAGCTTTTACAAACACACTTTTTTGGCTGAAAAGTGAACCAGAGGACTGCAAAATTAAAGGCTTAAAGTCTTATGCAAAAGGCTCCTGTGGCCCTCCAGTTTGACAGACAGTGTTATGAGATGATTGTAAATTATCGGATCATACAATTGCTGCTAGGCTGTGCAGTTCTAAAACATCTATTGTTCTAAAACATCTTGCCATTATCTAGTATGATGTAGAATAAGTAATTTGTGGAAGTGTAATTGCAACTTTCAGTTTTCAACCTTTTGTAATTGTAAGACTTGTTTTTGCAGTGGTACAGAAGAAAGAAGGACAGTTTCCAGTAGTTTGGTTTTGGCAGTAACACTCAGAACATTAACTTGCTAAGGAAGAGGAACCAAAGGAGATCAGGCTTCTCGCTTGCTGGTGTCAATCCTTCCAGTGCAGCAGAGGAGATTCAAGGAGTCAGATCATACCATGACGTAGTAACTGCAACACTTGCTTTTGAAAAAGAAATATTTTTAAGTGCAGCATTAGAATCATAGAAAGTATACCCAGCAAAGTTGATGTGTGTTAGTCACCTTTATGAAATTCCCTGCACATAGCAAGCAGACTGACTTGGTCATGTCAAGAAGTTTATTGATTTTAGTCTTGCCTACCCATAAATGCATGAAAATCTGCAAAGTTTGTGGTTTCAGAATAGTTCCCCTGGTAATAATGGAGCTTTTCTTTAAACATCTGAAAGTTTTCTTGTAGCTTGCAGTATCCCACAAGCATAGAAAATAAATCCCTACTCATTTAAGAAACAATGGGGACATCTACTAACACACCCTGGTGCTATGTCCCAATGGGGTTTATAAAGAGCTGCTTCTACATCATGCTGCTGCTAGATGAAAGCTGGAAGTCCCCCGTGACTTTGAAACAGTTGGCTCTGGAAAGTAGGAAGGAAGCAGCTTCTTTTAGCATCTGGAGTGATATTAGGGGTATTTGAAGTGCATTTGGGTCATCTGAGATTGTGACATGTATCATATTTGAACAGTGGCTGCACACTTCCAACTCCAAGAACTCAATCTTGCACGATAACATTTACATATATTGTCTGTGGAGACATGCTCAACTGTGATTTGCTAACTTAAATCTTATGAAATACTTGTCAGTAGATTGCTTGTGCTGGAGGATGTAAGGAACAACCTGCCAGCTCTATCAGAGCCAGGCATATTCTCTTCCCACCTAACGTGCCAAGCTCATAAATCAGTCGCAGTGCGTCATGCTTTTATTAATACACAGAGGTTGTACTATTCCAAGACTGCATTATCGCTGCTGCTTCTCGTGCATCAGAGATGTGGTAATCCATCTGTATTCTGCCTAGCTCCTTTAGGATGTTTCGTGTGTGACTCTGGGGAGACCAGCAATGCCCTGGCCCTGACTCTGGATAGCCTATACATCACCTTGAAAATTAACTCAGAAGATCACCACAGCAGAATTCAGTCTTGTCCTTGTGTGGGCTGAAATTCAGTACATGCAACATGGCACGCTTACAGAGAGGACACAGGAAGAGAGTGGGAACTACTCCTGCTTCTGTGAGATTAGGGATGGTTTCTGGATATGCTATGTATGAATATGAAAACCACACTTTTGCTTTGGTATTTCAGGATCTTACCCTACAGGTGAATTCCAAGAGTATGCAGATTTAAATTATTGGGATATGTCCTAAGTTTGTTTAGACCAGCATGATTAATGAAACTGTGCTGACATTGATAGTTGCTATCACTTCTTAAACAAAAAAAAACCTAAGGAAGTTTCCTATGTCTTGCTGCTCTCATGCACATATCCAAATGTGGAGCTAAGGAATAACTGGTTTCCCAAAAATGCCCTGAGAAAAGAGGATACCCTGTGTAGCCAGCATAGCTATGCATCCTAAATATAACAGTGCTGAGCATTTGCAGAGCAGGGTTCAGGTTTACACCACGTATGGCAGCCTGGGATGTTCAGGGCCAGACATCCCCAGTGTGTAACGTGATCTCTTCCTTGGGTGCCAGACCAGTTCCCAGCCTGGCAGCTGCTGGCTGGGGATGGAGTTTCCTGACCCAGACCCACCTCCTCCCATCTAGAACCATCCCTGCAAGGGAAGATGGTGTGTGGCACGGGCAGGTCTCTCAGCCCCTGCACAGACCTGATGTGGAGGTTTGCTGCTGTTGATGGATGTGAGCTGTCAGGTTGGTGTGCTGCACTCCAGGGTGGCAGCAGCAGTGGTGGATGCAAGGGATAGTGAATGCAATGTGCCACCATGGAGCAGCTCCGGAGCGGGGCCCACGTGCAGACATGGGAAGGAAGATCGGTCAGCCCCCAGGAGCCTGGGCCCCACCTTCTGCAAGCTGTCCACACAGGTTGCAGCAGTGGGCGTCCTGGGAAGGTGCCGACAGCGCCCGGGGCGGCCTGGGAGCGGGTAGCGCTGCTGGCGTGCCACTCCTGTCTGGGACAGAGGGGTTCTGGCACTGGGCTCCTCTCTTACGGACACCTTACAAAGACCGAGGTGCCGTACAGAAATTCTCTGGGCCTCCTGAAGCCTTATGGCAAATGCCAGCCTTGCAAACTGGGGCACGAGCAGCTGGAAGCGTGAAGGAGGCCGGTGCCAGCAGCAAGGTGCCAGCCAGTGCAGCGATGGGCATGTTGTGCATTGCTTCCCCCCACGCACGCCGCTCCCCAGGGCCTCCGGGGGGAGAGGCAGAGGGGAAGGTGCCACGTGAAGACCAGCTCACTCCTGGCTGGAAGGGTGATGCACTGGGTTGCCCAGCTCTGTGGTCGTGTGCCTCCATGGAGTGAGGCTGCAGAACCCATCTTCCAACATGTTTTTGGCCCTGAGATTTTTTGGACAGTCTTATGAGTCCCATATGTGGGTGAGGGTAGGAATTTGGGTAGTTTTGGGAGGCGTGTTCTGCTTCTCTGCAGTGCCCCAGATACAGATCTTGTTTTGCTCTGCTGTCCCACTGGAGGGTCTCACAGTAACTAGCAGTTCACTGGATTTGGGTGGACTTGAGGAAGGTTTGATCCCTTCAAATCTTTTTTCCCTGCTCTGTTTTCATCTGCTAGGGCTGCTGTAAGCTCTGGCAAAAATGCCCCTTTTCATATTATGGCTCAGCTTTGCCCAGTCTACACAAAGCCTCTCTTCTCCAGATACCTGGCAATCTGTACCTGAGGAGACCATTCTGTGGTTAATGGCAGATTTTAAAAAGCAGGAATTTAAAAAAACAGGTATATTCAGAGGGCCCTTGGGTGGTTTGTTTCACTTTACTGCCAGGGAGGATATCTGCTGTTAGTGCTGTCTGCTGTCCTAGGGAACTGTCTGACAGCTTGGATATTTGTCTGTCAGGATATCTAACATGACAGCATGTATTTCAGAGAACAGTCTGAGCCCTCGGATTATAGTGGGACAGAGTAAGGCAGTTCAGCAGGCATCATCACCACGCAGGCATCATCTGCCAGGAAGCTGGATCCTCTACTTGGGGAACACAAGTCTTGCTGTCTCTCATTGATCTGCAAGTTAAACAGTAAGGGCTGATGGAAACTTGGATCCTTGGCTGTGGCAGGCAAAAGGAAGTCTCCAAATACTAGGCTTGTGTGAGGCTCCAGATGACCCATCTGGACCAGGCAAGGTATGGTTTGTGCAAGCCCTCTGCAAGCAGGAAGCTGCTGCCTCCTTGAATCATCTGATGGGCAGGCAGCCGCAGCCTCTAAGGGAGGTAACAGAGGGTCTGAAGCAAGAAGGGGGTCTCCAGCATCTTTTTGCAGGGCTGCAGGATGATCACTTCCTCAGACATCAAGCAGGGGGACTGGCTGCCTCTTGTGCTCTGCCCCCTGCAGAGTGGGACCCTGAGCATCCCCCAGCATCATCATCCTCCTCTCCTCTCTCTGTAGCCTGACTTGCCTTGCCTCAAAGTCCCAGGGAGCAGCTGCTTTGGAGGAAGATTCCCAGCTAAAGACTACACTGACTCAAATTACTTTCCCACTTGGGGAGAAAAGGGTGAGAGCTAGACCCTCTTCCAGAAAACGCTTGAAAATGTGTGTTTTTACTTCCCTTTGAGATGCTGGCAGGGAACAAGGACAGGGTCATTTAGGGAGGATCTGAACAAACCCTGACAGAATCCATTAGAGAGACTGACATCCTAGTAGGGGGAGAGAGGTGGGGCAGGCTCCTAGGCCTCAGGGGGTGCTCTTTTATATTTAATTTATGAACCCTTGATTTATATCTGGATGGGGTTTGAGCCCACGTGAGTCACATTCACATG